ATGCCAAGCAAGGAAGTTTATCATTTTTTTATTTAACAGGATGTCAGGGTTGCTCCAGATGGGTGTCAGTTTGCATGGGACCAGTGAAGTTTGGTTCATTTTAAGAAATTCCCACCAGGCTTTTTGCTTTTAAGACTTATTTGTTTTGCTTTATTTTCTTTCTTACTCTGTATAGCACTTTGGTATAACTTTGGTTGATTTTAAACATGCTATATACATGAATTTGAGCCTGACCTGTTATCCGAGTCTAGATTGCCTGCATGTTAACACACAACCCACTGCTTCTGATCTTGCCATTTCGGTCTGCTGTGCTTGTTCATCACTGTGTCTGAGTTCTCTGCTGTCCTCCCCACTGGATGGTGTCTGGGGTGGGAACCATCTGAGCTGGAGTGCTGCTGCAGTCCCACCATGGATGTAACTTACGAACTCACACCGTGTGGGCTGCCTTCAGTCTCCCGATTCACTCTGACAGCCACAGAGATCCGACTCATTCATGGACTTTGGCTTTGACCACGATGACAGTTTACATCTGCTTTTGGTAAGCAGGCCCATTCATTCTATTTTCTATACACGTGCGGGCAGGGGATGTGTGGTGAAAGGCGCTATATAAAATTAAATTGTATTGAATCATAACTCATTATGCGTTGTGTTTAATATGCATGGTTGTGATGTATTGTAATTTTTATTTTGCCCTGTTTTTTAAATGTTTATGGTGTCTAAGGTGTATGGACAGCGCGCATAGGCATTTCCGATGTCGCCGGCTCTGAGAATCACGTCGAGGCTGAGCGCAGCAATGCACTGCTAACCGTCAGCCTTATGCCGGAAGTCGCTTATAAGCGCCAATTTCATTTGTTCTCCAACTGCCTTACACCGTGACATGCCGCTAAAACGGACGCCTTTCATTGGGCTTTCTGGTTGTCAATCAGCCTGATGGGCGGTATGTTTGGTTGAGACAGGAATTGTGGCGCGGAGAGGGGCGGGGTGATAAACACAACGCTGGTATGGAAGCGTCAGAATAAATCATTTTGGTTTGATATGATCCTTCCAGGGAAAAAAAGTTTTCGGTAGGTTGGGGGCTAGTGCATCCATGGATGAAGAGGAGACGGTTCATCGCTTAGACGGATAATAAAATATTGGGAAGGTCCATTAGTGAGTATAGGAGAGAAGGCGAGTTTAAAGCCTGCTCGGGTGGCGGGCAGCACGGCTGATCGGCGTTACCCCACGGAGAGCCAGCCGGCCTGCCTGCTTAGCTCAGCGCACCTGGCGGCGGCCTGCTGCAGACACGCCGCCTTTCAGTGCCAGTTATACTGATGTTTTTCGCCTTTTCCGTCTCCATGGCCGTGCGTAGTCCGCCCCCTTTTTCAGGAATGCAGTTTTGTCTGGCGGCATCGTGAAGCAAAGCCCGATCGGGCTGAACTCCCGGAGCACCGCTGCTGAGATACGAGAATCTCCCGCATTTTAACACATCGTTTCCTAAAGCGTCGGCCACACCGATCGGCCGCCCGGGTGACCGTGTTTCACTCCAGCGTCCCCGTCAGACACGTTGCACGGAGGGTCACACGTGTGGTGATGGATAACGCCGGAGCCATGTCGCACGAAAAGATGGAGCTGGACCTCGACGCGCTGTCATCCGTGGCCCAGAGCGACGGCCAGCTGAGGCGATCTAACAGCGCACCGATGATTAACGGCCTGAGGTTGGTATTTCACTAACCTGCTGCCATATTTGATGTCCATATATCGACTCCTCAGACTGCCAGTCTCCAGCGACATACAACTGTCACGCTTAGTTATGGCCAGTAATCTGCTGCTTTCAGTGCCTCTGCGTGGCGCAGTAGTTAAGACGCCGATCTGTCATGCGCACGGTCTCGGGTTCGAACCGCGGTACGGCCCCGTTATGCATGCGGCCCTCCGGCTCCTTCCTCCATAAGGCGACCGGGGCGCCGAAAGGCGTGCTAGAGCATACTGGGGGGAGTTATCAGGGCCACCGGTTACTAAAGCACAGGCCGGTATGGTAGTATGAGACTCCCACATTTTTAAAGAGGAATGGAAACGCAGCCGGACCTGCAGTCCTGTCTTACTCAAGAGGGACAAACACTTATGTACGGTGTATATAACCCTTATTGGAATGCACATGTTTTGAATAAAAATATCATTATTGCGTGAGGTGATTATAGAGAGTTTGAGAGTCGCTCCTGCTGTGTTAAGCGGCACTGTGAGCTGTATCACCTGTCTTCCACCTCTCTCTCATCCTCGACGCTTCCATGCCCTGTCCACCAGTGATAACTCGCCCGTTTTCCAGCAAGAGACGCTCCGAAACAGGAGAAACAGCACGACGGTGGTGAACCGCACCAGTCCGGTACAGGGGGCGCTCTTCTGTGTGTGTGTGTGTGTGTGTGTGTTTGTGTGTGTGTGTGTGTGTGTGTGTGTGTGTGTGTGTGTGTGTGTGTGTGTGTGTGTGTGTGTGTGTGTGTGTGTGTGAACTGTGAGAGGGCCCTGTGCTTGTTAGAAGCACTTTGTTCCCATGTGGTGGGTGATGCTTGTCTTCTCCTCCTCCAGATGGTCCCGTCGTCTCCCATCCGTGTTCCCAGCACCAGACTTCACCAGATCAAGCAGGCAGGTCGCCGGCCTCGTTCCTCTGGGCACCTGTCATTCTTGCCCTGCTCATTTGACTTTAAGAAGCTTCCACTGAGCAGTGTAGGGGAAGTTACTCACGAAAGTTATCCTTTACAGGCAGAGGAGGGAAGTTCAGGTCCAGAAAGTCCAAATCCAGACCAGCCTTTGTTTCAACCAACCAGTTGACGATAGAGAGTCACAGCGACAGAGTACTGAAATGATCGGTTGAAACAAAACCTTGGTCTGGATTTGTACTTTTTGGGCCTGAACTTTTCACCTCTGTCTGTAATGGATTACTTTGTGAGTAACTTCCCCAACGCTGACTGTGAAAGCACCACACCATCAGCTCTGTGGATCCCGCCTCTCATAAGTAGTGCCTGGCCACACACTCTAATACATTTTCCTCTGGCCCACAAGTCTTGAAAACTGGACTTCAGTGGGGAAAAACTGCAAGAATCCATGCATTGTGGGAGGCTGCGCTTCAAACCGCTTACCTGCTCCCTGCTCTGCTGTGCTCCTGCAGGAGGAGGGCGTGGACGTGATGAACAGGGAGGCGGCCCACGAGCGGTGAGCGGCGGGGCCATGGAGATCCTCAAGAGGGGTTGGCGTCGACTTGGGAGGATTTGACGCTGCTTGCTAAATAATAGGGGGCTCAGGCTGTCTTCCCAGCTCGGTACACAAACCGCGCCCCAGGCTTAGCGTCTGTATTCAGTGTGTAATGCAGACACACAGGTCTTGGGAGCCGGGTGTAAATCCCGTGAACCAGCTGCACTTCCGTCCTGCGGATAATGAGTCATCTTCAAGTGAGAATCCCCCAGATTTACCGATGTGTGAGCTGTACCTTGGGCCCTCGCTGCTCTGCACGCAACGTGCGCGTGGTGGTAAAGGTTCAGGCCTGTCGACACACGGGATAAAGCGAGACGTGGCTGAGATCTCAGCGGCAGGCCTGCATGTCCCGTCGCCGGTGCCAGATGAAGTCACACAGCTGAAGGATGCAGGCCGGCTGAATCTCTGGACAGCAGTGTGAGGCGATGTCGCTGAAACCTTTTTCACTCCCCTCTCCTCCCCCCCCCCCCGGCCATTCAGGGAGGTGCAGGCAGCCATGCAGATGAGTCAGTCGTGGGAGGAGTCTCTCAGTCTGGTAAGGAGCAGTGAATGGTTTCATTGAGTGTTAATGGACGTGTTTATGCAGTGACACTCCTGGGCCTGTGTCACCCTCCCCGCGGTGAGTCTTAGCACACAGGCAGCCTCACCTTCTCACACGCTTTTCCCTGCTCGCCAGAGTGATCACGACTTTGAGAAATCCTCCTCATCCTCGCCCAAATGGATCGACTTCGTCCCGGTGTCGCCGGCGCCGTCTCCCACACGCAGTATCGGCAAGAAGGTGGGTCCCTCGCATTCCCCCGGTGAGCCGGCCCCCAGGTGTCGGCGGTGGTTCATCGCTGGTCGGGGCTGACCCCTCCTCTCTCCCCCCTCCCCTGCAGCAATGCTTTTCTCCATCCCTGCAAATTCTGGTGAACAGTAATGGTTTGACGCCCAGCCCCACCCCCAGCCCTACGCGCCGTTTCAGGTACGCCCCCCCCAGCTTCCGGTACCTTCCGTAAGCAGCTGGAGCCGCTTGGCCTCCGTTTTCCCCTGCCCCCTCGCGCTGTCGTCTCTCTTTCATGTCGAGGTTTCCACTCTCTTTTGTACGTTGCCGCTCTGACCAGCAGGAGGAGCCAGAGTCCCAGCAACTGCATTCGGCCCAGCATCCTGAAACCCGTCAAAAGGAAAGGTGAGCTCTTGGCGCCTCGTGGAGCCGCCTCGGGTGGGGATCTGGCGAACGATGGCATCCTGACCTCTCTGTGGCTCCGTGCCTGCAGGCGACGCGGAGATGGAAAGCCAGCCCAAGCGGCTCTTCCAGGGCACCACCAGCATGCTGTCCTCTGAGACGTCTCCGGGGCAGGACCTGGGCTCCTGGTGAGCTTAACCCTCCAGTGCTTCCTGGAGGTGCCATTATCGGTATTGTTAAAACCGGCGGTGATGAGTCTCTTTGTGCTGCCATCCTGAACCTTTCGAGACCCGGTGGGCTGTATGTGTGACGCAAATCTCCAAATCAGTGGTACCACACATTAAACACACTGCACCCCACTGGTTCCCTAGTCGGGGTCATTTCCGGTTGACCCCCGTGTGTGAATGGAGCCAGGAAAATTCTAGTGAATTCACCACGAGTAAGTGGGCATTTTAATGATGTTTCTGTCATGCAACTGGCGCAAAAACAAAGCAATGTATACAGCCAGAGAATTCTTCTGTCGTCCGACAGATTCGAGGAATGGCCTGGGAGTAAGACTCGGTCACTAGGTCCCTTTGAGCCTTAAAAAAACCAACTCGGAGCAATTAATCGGCGATTTTTGTTTGTATAAGAACACTGGAAATGAACTCATTGTTAACACATTGGTCGGCGATTTTTATGTGTATGTGAACACTCCGAACAGACTCAGACCTCTCAGAAATGAAACGTGCTGAATTGCTCCAGGTTCGCGACACCTTTTGCCCTCTAGGCTTGCCGTAGATTGGTCACATGCTATTGCACTGGGATGCTCGAAAAAACAAATAGATGGAGCCGTGGCTGCTGGTAACGAACATTCTTGGGGAAGTTACTCACAGAGTAACCCCTTACAGACAGAAGTTCAGGTGCAGAAAGTACAAATCCAGCCAACAGGTTCAGTATTTTGTGACTGTGACTCTATTCTCAAGTGGTAGTTGGAACCAAACCTTAGTCTGGATAAATACTGGACCTGAACCCCTCTCTGTAATGGATTACTTTGTGAGTAACTTCCTCTAGGCTGGTAATGAAAAGAGCAGAAAGAAGACTGGGCCAGAAAGAGAACTGAGTCCTCATTCTGTGAACACAGAAAGAAAGAAAAAACAAAAAATGAGTCTCTCTTCTGTTGCTTCCTTCTTGGTCTGCTTTCTGAGGACTGAGTTTGCTCTTCGGCTGTGGATTGACTCCCCTTCTCTGCTCCTTCAGTCTGTCCCCGGATCTTCTGGACGGGAGCCTGAGCAGCGTTGGATCTTCTGCAGGATCTCCAGCCAAGATGGATGGGGCTTCTCCCTCCCCAAGCACCTCGCCCTTTGCCCCCATCCAAGACCTGTCATCCAAATAAAAGCGGGGGCGGGGGGGCAGGGTGTCCTTATATGGCTTTCCTTTATTTTTTCCCCTCCTGGGGCGATTTGCATGGTGTGGTAAGCCGATGTCCGGGGTTGAACCCTTGTGTGTGTGTGTGTGTGTGTGTGTGTGTGTGTGTGGTGGGGGGGGCGTATTGAGTGAAGAATATTTGCACCGGCTGCTAGATGTTCGTTGACTACATGGTGCTGAAACCGGTTGGTCTCTCTGCCTACTGTGACTCTTCGTAAACCTAAGAAATCCGCCCCCCTCCAGCAGAGCAGCGTAAACCTGTCTCTCCACTGTGCAGCTGGTCTAAGACAAAGGATGGACGGCACCTGCCAGGCCTGCCGCTCTCGATAGCAGGCCTCTAATCAGGAGGCAGACGTGTCATTGATCTGCAGGTCTCTGTATCTACGCCTGTCTGTAGGTCTTTTCCAGAATGAAAGCTCAGGGCCGGAAGTAAGGCAGAACGCAACGTCATAAGGGCTGGATCATAGTCGAAGGGAAAGAATGTTCCGGAACCTGTCCTCTGTCCTTCTACACATTTGACCAACTGATGTGGGCATGTTTGGTGTCACTTTGCCTGTTGGCCACACCTTTTGTCCCTCTGGTTCTACACGTGGTTGTCTGGCTGCCTGTAATGTGGGGCGTGATGTTTTTCCTGTCGTCCCTTTTCCACATCTTTACGGTGTTGCCGTGTCCCCAAGCAGTGGCTGCTGAATTGAATTCACACCCCAATGTCCCGCAGGGTTGATAGATCACGGGGAAAAGTCAGTGACTCACATCGTAGATTTAGCCTGGCTTCCGCTGCTTGTTTTGATGGCAGCAGAACAGGATTAACAGTATTGGGGGGGGGGGGGGTGCTGCTCGTGTGCCTGGTGAGGTCGACTTGATCCCAAACCTGGTGACCTTTGACCTCCCATAATTCCTGTGCCGAGTGACACAATCAAAGCAGGGGCCATGATTCATGTGGGAGGCAAAAGGGCTTTATGCAAGACGTCTGCTCCTGTTTGTCCGTGTTAGATTGCTACACCAGGGTTGTTGACCTATGTGGAAACAACAGGATAATTTACAGGGTCCCACTGTCTAGACGCCGTGCTTGAAGGGGTCGACCCAAGAGCGTTTTCTCAACATTAACGAAACATCGAAGTGTTTCTTGCAATTTTTGATTGAACTCTGTGCCATTTTCAATGACTACATGCAAAAGATGCTAAACTGTAATTGTGTAAAAAAAAAAAGTCTGATTGCTGTAATTTAAGTTTTTTTTTTTTTTGGTTATTTTATTGAGTATACCTTTGGAAGATCTCTTTTAAGGTAGATGGTTATTTAAAAAAAAAAAAAAAGCATGGTATATAAGTTGACCAGTTTGTGGGGTTTTTTGTTAAAAGGGAGAGAGGATATGAATCATTTTTATATGCCAACATGGATTCATTAGTTTAAAAAGTAAAAGCTTGAGAAAAGCTTCCTGATGCTGCGGTTTGTACAGGATCCTTCATTTAAGAAAATCAGGCAAAATGCACCTTGTTTTGGTTCTAATGCTCTACTGTTACCTCTGTACCCCCTCCCACCCTCAAAGTGTGCTAACGTCATACATACATAAATGCAGGATGTTGGGCGTTGACTTCATCCCAGTTGCTCCTGCTGTGTGTGTACGCGTACGCACATGCACACGCACACGTGTGTTTTATGCCAAAATATATGAATTTCTGCGTGTTTTTGTCCCTGTCAGCTGTATTTTGTTCAGCCCACAAACCATTTCCCTCAAACTGAGGTTTAAGGATGTAAGAATACAGAATAAATTATTAGCTGTACAGTCATATTGTTGTTTTCCTCAATGCTGTGTGTGTGTGTGTGTGTGTGTGTGTGTGTGTGAGTGAGACAGAGAACATGATTTCTGGACCTTACAAGATGTTCATTTTCAGGAATAATCAGCAAAATGAATTTTAGCATGAATCTTGCAGATTGTACTAAACGAGTCTGGTTCCTCAATAAGAAGTACCTCTTGTGTTTGCTCTCATGCTGTACGTGGCAGTGACAGGGGAGAGCTGCGGCCATTTGGGAAATCCGCTCCTTATGTACGGCCGGCAGCCAGGCATTTCTTAATGGGCACATCAGGTCCCTCTTCATTAGTAAATAATCGTGTCAAGGACAAGTACATGATATTCCGACGGATGTTGGTTCCGTCGTGTGCTGGTTTGTGCCTGTGTTGTGGTAGCCCTGTATCCAGCATCTTTTCCATTTCTTTGGCCAGAACATGTAATGGATGGATGGATGATTAGATGATAGAGCCTGCAGGGGGAGCAGGCTTTGTGTCGCATCTGTGTCGTGGCACGTGATGCCAAATCACATTTCCTATCAGGGACAGAAGGAACCCCCACCCCCACCGGTCAGCACTGCAGGATTAAAACGGAATTTGGAGGTGGGTCACAGTGCAATGCAAGCAGGGGTGGGGGGCGGGGGTGATTACGGTGAGAAGTGTGGAAGTGAGTATTGTGGTGTAGGGAGGTGTGTGGTGAGGAGAGGTCTGCTCGGTGCCACTGCATCGGCATGGCTGGGCTTAACGGGACACAGCGACAGGGCCCACCCAGCACCACAGACCCCTGCGCTTCCCAGCAGCCAAGCCTGATTTGTCCTGCTTTGAGATCGTCTTGTCGGGTCTGGCCTTCATTCACAAAACGCGAGCTCCAGGATTTTGCGCTGCATTTGTTGTCATTTCCCAGCTCGTGTGGCTCGTTTCACCCTGGCAAGTAAAGCCAGACAAAAGTAAGGTGAAGAGGTGCACGTTTATCCATGCAGACCTCCCAACCCACTGACACAGACCACTCTGGCTCAGCTGTCAGGCTACGTCCCCGCACGGCCCTCATCACTGCTGCGTCGCTGATCCGTGTCTGTCACCTTTGTTCATAGTGAGGGAGACCTCACTGAAAACTACTGCAATTTATGTTGTTAACTTACTGGATTTACTGCGCTGACTATATAGTATACGTGTATGATATATAGTCTAGACAATGCATATACAGTACAAGGTGTCAGTTATATAATGTATATATGATATATGAACATATATTTACATAAATATATGATGTCAGGATGACTATCAACAGCTCTTTTAACTACAGTGCGGGGCAAAAGTCTCAGGCAGTGAAAGGAAGTGTTTAAGGCTATTCATCTTGGCAGTGATTGTAAATTTTATTAGGAAAAAAAACAACTTGTGGCTGCAGTGTTGGTGCCGAAATGGAAATCAATACTTTCTGCAGCTGCCATGCATCCAGTGTGTCCCGGGCTTCACTCTGCACTGCAGGA